CATCGATTTTCTTTTTCGATGTTCTATCTCTGTTATAAATTCCACCCCGTTCCCACATCGGCGTCTCCGGTTTCCAAGAGGGTCAAAAAAGAGGAGGGGGACCCTTAATATAATCTTGTTAGACGTAGTTGAGATTGATTTGAACAGAAGCCAGGACCTTCTTGTCATACTAACTTTAATCCAGGCAATAGCAAACAAAGTTCATCCTAATAAACTTATTAACACGTTTTGTCATATATTTGTCTCATATGATCGACGTTACTTGACTATGATCTTCAAGATGTGACTTGCTTTTTAGAAGTGAGCAAATTTTGCACAGTTGTCCACAAAGATCTCGTTCATCATAATAATGCGTACTGTTTTGGGATTATTCATGTGCGTTCGATATTCGTAATTTGCTTATTCGAAATAATCTCTCATTAATTAAAGTGGATTATGGTAAAAATAGATGAGAAAAAATATAAAATATTCATTATTCTATCCAACCTACTCAATTCATCGATATCAACTACGTATTAACTTCATCAAATAGCTAAAATTAGATTTTTTGTTCTTCTCTGCGTATTTTATACAGGTACAACATAGGAACTGACAGTTTTTGGATATTATTGTAAATGAAACGCCATTTTTCAATCTTTTTAAATAGTTATAGTGAAATATGCCGATAAGGCGGCCACATTAGTAAATTCTTTCCAAAAATTCTTTCGATAGTTCAATGTCAATGTCATGTATATAGTTTTCTCTCTTTCTCTTTCTATCTTATTCCATAGTTCGTTTAATTTCGTCATAAATCTATTGAGGAATCGGATCAATGCGCCTTTCTCTTCTTTTTTTTTAATGTGACATGTAGCAATATTTGAGAATAGCAATGTTGTTGTTGTTTTCATTCATTCAAAAATATGTAAACTAGTATGTCTTATAGAGTTCCTTGTTAATGTGTATAATTAATTCGTGTCTTCTCTATTTTCGTTTTTTAAGGAGAAATGACTTCTTTTTTTTTATCATCATATATTTTATATTTAGAATTGTACGCATCTCATATTTCTTTGCATGAAGGAAGAATATTTTCAAGAAGCATATTCGATAGAGATCTTAAAACAAAGTACATGTACTTCTCTTTGTTTTTACGTTATTGTCTCTGTTTCTATATATCCTTAATGAATTGTCTTTTTATTCTTCCCGAAAGAAGAAAATGACTATTCATTGGAAAAGTTTTCCACTCGTTATTATTATTTATGGACCATTAAGTATTGTCCAATAAAGTGTATTTTTAATAATAAACATATATATATCACCGTCTATCTATAGATCCTGCTTGAGTTCACAGTATAAATGCTAGGTATGCTTAAAGAAACACATTCAGATTTGCTTTCAGTTAATGCAAATATAGATAGATACAGTATACTTATCATTAAGACTAGAAATGAATATTCGTTTCTCTCACTAAATTTAATACAACAAATAGTTAATCATTTCACTTTGACAGGCGGTTTTGTTTTATGTTCGAAATTTTCATTATAATACCCACACTTCAAATCTAATTTTTGATCTATTATACAATTTGACAATAACTAATTCTTTGACATTTAGAAAGTTGCTGTTTATTATAAAAATCAATTAGTATTTTTCATATCAAACACATAATAGAAGTCTAACTTATCTGTAAATATAACATGAATATTACTTTTTTTTTTGGTTATAAAAAACGACAGCGAATATAATGAAATTTTCATAAGATTCTACACTAAAATTCATGATTACTGACAACTGTTAGGCTTTATTACAAGTCGTTACAATCTACAATTGTTTATACGTTCATAATGTATTTTTCTATTATAGATAGCTCAGGGAAGTATAGAGTATCGTGTATGATGTCACATATGATCTAGAGATTGTTCATATGACTCGAATGTCATCATGGCGAAATAATTATTAATAGTAATAAGTCACCACCATACAGACAAACAAAGTATATGAGTTTTTTTTTTGTTCCAAATAAAAGAAAGAAAAATATATACACATAGTCGTAATGGAATAACTGGCTGATATACAAATGTCTGAATGGATGAGTGTTGTGCATATACATATATAACATAAACAAAGTATATTTTGAAGAATATGTGACATATTTGTTTAAAAAAAAAAATGTATGCCGCTAGTACAAATATTTTGGATTAATTAATTTTTAGCAAAGAATATAATTGATTATTGAACGTTTACTAAGAGGCTAACTTCATGATAGGTATAATTAATATTTAACATTGTATAGTAACCTGAATATATTTTCTTGAAAAAATTTATGCGCATGATAAAATAGTATACATTAAATACTGAGATTTGAAACTCTTCTTTTATTAATAGTTACATCTCTATTCTATTAAATATATACAATAAATGAATGAATGAATGAATGAATGGTTGTTTAAAGTGGTAGAACGGAAGAAGAAAAGAAGAAGAAAATGATTGAGTACGAAGTGGTTTGTTGGTGCGATAAAGGACCTACAGTTTTTTATTTCTTGACAGCTGAACATAATGATGTTATTAAATATTTCTTTTCGTGTTAGTGTGTATGTTTTTTATGAAAAATTATTTCTTCTGACTTATTTCTTTCAATTATCTATCCATTTCTCTGAACACTTATAAAGATAACAGTGTTTCCTGTAATATATAAAAAAAAAAAATTAAAAAAAAAAAGCCAAAACGAAAGCGGAAATGTCTAAGTATTATTCCGCTATTTTCATGATTAATGGTTATTATTATGCAGGTCGCTCTTGTATTATAGATGGTTCAATAGATAGTTTTGATGCGTGATAGTCATTAATCACCGTGTAGTTTACATTATATTCATGACTGATATAAATATTAAAAAATATCAAAAAAAGACAACGATTTCTATTTTACAAGGTGATTATGGCAACATTGTTGTCCATCGTGATATTCTATTTTAATAATATTCTATTGATTGTTTATGGTGTGAGAATTGCTGTATTATTACCAACCGATCTCACATCACCATATGCCATGGCAAAAGTGAAGCCAGCAATCGATTTAGCTGTCAAAGAAGTAAATCATCGGCAACTATTAATAAATCAGACCATACAAGTTCGGTAAAGAGAGAAAGTTCATTTTTAGTCTTGATATCATGAGAAAAAAATAAGGTCAATTAAATATTTTAGCTATGGTGATACTAATAATTCGTATATTTTGGGACCCTTGATTGCGATTGATTTTTACGCAAAACAGCAAGCTGACGTATTTTTAGGTCCAGTGGATGGTCCCGGTCTGGCAGCTGTTGCGAGGTATAATGTTAACAGTATACATTATTAATTAAATTTATTCGAATATGTTTTACAGATATTCACCTCATTGGAAAATTCCTGTAATAAGTCCCGGTGGTGGTTTCAATTATCATTTCGATAATAAGCGAGAATATCAATTGTTAACGCGAATGCTACATTCATCAAAGACAATTGTTCGTTTTATCTCACGTATTATCTTACCACATTTTAACTGGACGGTAGTGAGGATTATTGCTGAGCGAAATATAGCTGAAGCACAGGTAAGTTATAGTCTACATGATTACTTAGTTAATTTAACTATAGATTATTTTTGAAGAGTGAATGTTACATGCTGATGGGTGCACTGTGTCGAGCAGTAAAAAATTCGAGCAATAGTCAAGAAATGAAAGAAACATGTTCACATTCAATATTCGATATTGATCATAGATTTAGAAACGAAACAAAAGAAAAACTGAAAAAAACACTCAATGATGCGAAAAAAGAAGCGAGAAGTAAGAACAAAGCAATTCATCTTTAATTCATTTGTTACTGTACAGTTGTTTTTTTGCATAATTTTAGTTTTACTAACATGTATGGATTCAAATTTATTCCGAGAATTCATGCTTACGGCATATGATCTTGATATGATTAATGGTGAATATGTATTCATCTACTTAGATATATTTCGACTTCTAAGGTAAATATAATACATCACTAAAATCTTGTTGCTCTTAGCTTAATCGAAACCGACCTTTAATAGTTGAAATACGATAGTATTAATAACCTAGAAACTATCCGTTTTTAACAGTAGGTACATCACCTTGAAACGCCCCGTTAACAGTACTAATTCTCGATTTCAATTTTCTTCATCCATATTTAACGTTCCGTTTTATCATCATTCTATTTACCTACTACATATACATATAATAGTAGTATAATGCTTTTATTTTAAATTACAGACTATAAGTTATAAACCTCACAATTCAGTGTCATGGACGAACTTCGTCCCTGTGACAAAAAAGTTCTATTAACCTAGCACATATACATATGTGACACGAGCTTTTTGAAAATTTTGAAATTTTTCTGTTATTCTATATACAAGCCATCGAAAATTGAGTAGAAGAAGTTGTCCTTAGTCTTGGAACTAATACTAAAGATAGTACTGTGGTCCTACCACTGGTACTGTACATGATCCAAAGATAATAAACAACAACAACTTGAAATCTATAAGGACAATATTTTTGTTTAGCAAAAAAACGTCCAGAACACGGTCCGTTTTGGACGAAAATTGTATTTTTGCAAAAAGAGAAAAACCATAAATCGTTCAGTGTAGAAGACCGAACAAACTTTCCTTTTTCATTCATATTGATACGCAAGCATAATTTATGACGAGAATTTAAAATTACCTAAACTTACGTGACGTTAAACGGATCTAAGAGATTACTGACGGTCACTTCATCTCACTACAGACCATAGAAAAACAAAATTTTTTTTCAGTATTGCTGTTGATATATTAGTAACACAATCGACTTACGCTCATAGTAAATAGTACTTAATTTATCATTATTGTCAGAGCTGGACAAGTCAAGTCTGACTTGACTTGGTCGAAAAATTTTTGGGTATGACTTGACTTGAGAGATAGTTTTCGTGACCGTGAGTGGACTTGAAAAACTTTTCAAATTCAGTCATGTCTAGTAAGAGATTTTCGTTTAAATTATGCATTTTTTTACCATGAAACAGAGTTTACTACTCTGGAAAAAAAAGATATAGTATGAAACTTATGAAGTTCCGAAACCACATTAAGGTTTAGTAATCGAATAGATTTCGTATGATACCCTTCAAGATTTTGTATCAAACTCTTCAAGGTTTCGTATTCGAACAGGTTTCATGACATACCTCTTGAAAATATAGTAGTAGAAAACGTTTCGTTCTTTGTGCTACTCTCATATGAGAGGGTGCGTGTTTTTTGTTCGCACTCAGGATAGCTGAGAAATGTTGTGAACTTCTCTGATTCCGTGAAAAAAGCGCCCAGTGTAATTAAAGCTAGAAAGTTCTCTGGATACCCTCTGCAGATCCCAAGGAAACTGGAAGTATACTATATGCTGTAAGTTTTATTATTCGTAAATGGCTTTTGTGTTATCAAAACTGACATTTCTTCTTCAAAACATTTCTCTACAAGATGGTATATAGTAGTTAATTTTAAAGTTTCTTGATTTCTTTAAAAAGCGTTTTTGATAGAGAGGCGTATCGGTTAAAAACCGCAGTTATAACCGACCGTAGGCTTGAGGAAAACGCTTTCTAACAACAAAAAACCTTTTTTTTAAGAGTATAAAAACTATCTCCACCCAAAAGGCGCTAGCAAAGTTTATGTTCTGCCTATTTTTTAATCAGACTTGGGTTGATTTGAAAATATTTTTAATGACTTGACTTGTGACCTGCGAAACCTCTGACTTACCCAGATGATTTTTGTCTAAGTATATTCATAGCTCATTATGATAAGAATGTTGTTTTTCATACAAGACTATATTAAACTAGAATGCAATTGTGTTACGCACAAGTTGCGATGTCGACAGACTCTGTCTCCGACGGAACCTATTGCTCCAAGCAGATTCTACCAGTAGGCTGTAAGCACTACATTTTTGCTTTGATTTATATTGAGTAAATCAAATCAATACAGATATATTTATTTGACATTTCGATTTAAGAACAAATGGCGCCGGATAGTCAACTCTTATAAATACACGAAAAGTTTCTAAGTCCAAAAAGCAGTTTACTTCTACTTGTGTAGCTTATGGCGCCGAATCTGGACTTAGCTTTGAAATAAGAACGTGCTTTTATCAATCTTCAGTGTCAGGAGATTATCCTACTTTTTCCAGAAGTTTCTAGCTTTCTTAGTTTCTCTAGATCACGAGGTGCACGTTTTGCCGAAGAAACGGACGAAAGAAGAAAATAAAACTAGAGAGCAATTGTGCTGTGCACAAGTTGCGATGTCGACAGACTCTGTCTCTATTGATAACTGCCAAAAGTTATCAATTTAATCGGCAGATTTTCACTGCACCGCTTTCATTGTGATTTTCTATTTCAGTTACTTTAAAAGACATAATTAGAGAGAATAACAGAACAGAGAACGAAATATAAAGAACAGAGAAACAGAAACAAGAGAAAATTATTTTTCTTCGTAAGAACAAATGGCGCCGGACAACTGATGTTAATGAAATTTAAAAAACTTTCAAGTGCAAAACACATTTTTTTCCGACTTGTGTAGCTTATGGCGCCGAATCTGGACTTATGTTTGAGAAAAGAATGTGCATTAATAAATTTTTAATGTGGGAAGAATATCCTACCTTTTCCAGAACTTTTCTAGCTTTCACAGTACTCTAGATCACGAGGTGCACATTTTATCCAAAAAGGGATGACAGAAGAAAATAAAAAACAAAATTCCCAGAAAAAACACATAATGTCTGCCGACATAAAAATGGTTGTAGTCTCAAAACATTCAGCTTGTGTACAAGATACTTCGTTGTCTATAATTAATTATTACGTTCTTGTATGATGAAAAATGTTACACGTTTTCTGAATATTGTGTGCATGTTTAACGATTTTTATATTTATAGAAAGGATTTAAGTTTGATTAAGTGGAAGAAAAGTGATGCGAGTGAAGCTGAAAATAAAAAAATTCGTCGAGCATTTGAAACTGTGCTCATCATCGGTTTTAAAGAGGCAGATACCGACAAGTATCAACGATTCTCAAATCAAGTATTTTCATCGTTTGAACAAACAACAGCAACAATAAATCATTCATCACCATCATCATCGAACAAATTAGTAAGTGTGAACAGAGATATCTATAATAAGATAATGTCATATTGATCTTGTGTTTTCAGGTTAATCCCTATGTAGCTACATTTTATGACGCTGTTCTTCTTTACGCATATGGCTTGAATCAAACGATTGCCGTGCATGGAAATACAAATGACGGTTTTCATGTCGTTAAAAATATGTGGAATTCTAGTTTTGAAGGTATCACTTCTTAGATTACCAGGGTACTAACGTGGACTAAACTCCTTTTCCCTTTAAAAGGTTCGAATGGTATTGTTCAAATAAGTGAAACTGGAGATCGAGTGAGCGATTATTCATTGTTTGATCTCAATCCGAAAACAGATGAGTTTTGGGTAATGATAAAAATTTCGTAGTGATGAAGTTTAAAATAAAATGGTGCATGTTTTTTAGGAAGTTGGTACATATTCTGGTGTAAATTCAACATTTGTTCGTTTACGTGAAATTTACTGGATCGATAAAGTGACAAAAACTCCAAACGACATACCATTCTGTGGATTTGACGGAAGTCGATGTATTCAGCCCAAAAGTATGATTGTTTATTTACTGTCATGGAGAGTTGTTAGATAGAAATAGTATTTTTTTTTTGACTCAATTTAGATCCATTTTTGTCTTGGATATATTTTACAGTAGTTGTGAGTCTAATTGTGCTAGTATTGACATTATTAGCCATCTGGTACTACAAGTAGGCAATTATATATCTGTTTAATTTACAGATCTATTTTATCTTCTTGTTAATAGACGCGTAAGTTTTGAAGCTCAATTAAAAGTAATGAATTGGATAATCCAATCTGAAGACATATTTACTATGGAAGAGTTTTCATCAAAGTTTAAACAAGTGAAAAAAGATAAAAATAAGGTGAGTGCATAATATAAACTGTTATGTGTATATTACAATGATTTTCGCTCGTTTAGGGAACGTCAATTCTCCATTTTCCAATTTTTGAAGATACACTTATTGACACAACATCGACAATAAATTCTATAGGAACTGGACGATATAAGGTATAGAAAACGTTTTTTGTTTTTCATGAAAAATATAACGTCATTTGGTTTTTGACTGTTCAAAGGGTATGATAGTGGCATTGACACCAATTGAACACAAGTCAAAGATTGACATAACACGTGTACTGCTGATGGAAGTAAAAACGGTACTGAAGATAAATTTTCGTCTTTTTTTTTTAATCAAAACGTTCATGTGATGAAGATAGAATGTGAAACATAATCTGTATTTTGATTTTGAACTAATAATCATTGTTTTGTTATTTTACAGATAAAAGATATGCAAAATGAACATCTTGTACGATTTATTGGAGCATGTCTTGATCCACCATGTTTGATCACAGAATATTGTTCAAAAGGGAGTTTACAAGTAATTGTTCACTAAAAAATGTTTGACAATCTATTCGAATTATGAAGGTTTACGAGTAAAAATATCAACAAAATCATTGTACTATTGTTTTAGGATCTATTGGAAAGTAATCAAATTAAACTGGATGATATGTTTAAATACTCGATTATGTATGATGTCGTGAAGGTATCTATAATAATTATAATATTTTAATATTAATAATTAATGAATAATTTGTTAATTATAGGGTATCGTTTACATTCATAATAGTGATATACATAGTCATGGAAATCTAAAAAGTTCAAATTGCTTAATTGGAAGTAGATTTGTAGTTAAAATATCTGATTATGGTATTCCTTCCTTACGTTGTTCGAGACATCAGAAATATCCGGCAAATTGTGAACAATATTATAGAAGTATGTTTTTTCATTATATATAAAATTATTCTCTTTAAAATATCTAAATTTTGTTTTTAGGTCTGCTATGGTCTGCTCCAGAAATTCTTAAAGATCAGCATGCTCCACATGAAGGTACTCAGAAAGGAGATGTGTATAGTTTTGCAATTATATTACATGAAATTGTATATCGACGGGGTTTATTTGCAATGAACGAAACACTAGTAGAGCCTAAAGGTATGTAACAAAAGGAGTTGTTCTTTAACAATAATGATTAATACAAAGTTATAATATGATTTTCTAGAAATATTTCAATCGATAAAATCTGGTGATGAGATTCGCCCACCATTTCTTGGTGAAAATACATTATTTGAAATTGGTGCTCTAATGAAAAAGTGTTGGTGTGAAAATCCTGCAGATAGACCTGATTTTAGTGCCATATCAAGTACAATTCGAAAATTGAGCAAGTTCGTATTATAGAAATTATTTCGATATTTATGTCGCAGGACAAATTAAAATTTCAATATTTTCGTGAAGTTTAAATTGTCTTAAATATTCATTTATTCTGTGGCATACTCTTTTTACTATTTAGAAAATTTGATAATGAAAATCTTGTGGATAATTTATTGAAACGTATGGAACAATATACTAACAATCTAGAAGAACTTGTCACCGAAAGGACAAATGATTATTTGATAGAAAAGAAAAAAGCAGAAGAGTTACTTTATCGTTTATTACCACGGTGAGTTAACTTCAGATACGTTGAATCGGATAACAATAATGTTCGATTAATTTAAGGTCAGTCACAGCCGAATTAATGGCTGGAAAATCTGTCACTGCTGAATCATTCAGTTCAGTGACAATTTATTTCAGTGATATATGTGGTTTTACACAAATATCGTCTGAAAGTACACCTATGCAAGTAAGTTTAGATTATGTGCGTTTTGTGTGAAAGTATACCTTTTGTCTTTTTTTATAGATTGTTTCACTTTTAAACGATCTTTACACATGTTTTGATTCGATTATTGAAGCATACGACGTATATAAGGTAACTCAATGAACGTTCGTTTTCTATATTTCGTTATACGTTCAACTAGTTTGTTTAAGGTGGAAACAATTGGTGATGCTTACATGTGCGTTTCAGGACTACCTACACCAAACGGAAATTTGCACGCAAGAGAAATAGCTCGAATGGCATTGGCTATTTTAGATGCTGTTATCAATTTTAAAATAAGACATCGACCTGGTGAACAATTGAGAATAAGAATCGGGATACATTCTGGTATGATTCGATTACAAATATACTAGTGTAGAAGCATTGGCTAATAAAACAATTATCTAATTTTGCTATTTCTTTTCCTAGGTCCTTGTGTTGCAGGTGTAGTCGGTTTAAAAATGCCTCGGTAATGAAATAATATCTTATTGGTTAAACTTCATATATCGTCTACTTATTATTATTAGATATTGTTTATTTGGTGATACCGTTAATGTAGCATCAAGAATGGAATCCAATGGAGCCGGTAAGTTTAATATAAATTATTCTGCATAGATGCCAGCATATAAAACTATACTATAACGTTTGTTTTGTAAAATTAGTAGCTTGTTCTAGATTTTCATCATTTCAAGATGTTCATTTTCTTATTTCTTCAAACTTTTCATCATCTCACTCTTTCAAGTTTATTATGGTTGGTTCTTGATAGCTATATTGAATAGTCTTAACTAGAGCAAGAATTTTATTCATATCTTGAAAAGTTTCAACAGTTCGACAAATTAAAATATTGAATTTTCAAAGAATTAAAAAGACGGATGTAGATTTTTGGAAGATGGTAGGAGTATGAGCACAGTTGTATACGAAAAATCACGCTGAGAAGTTTGATAAGATTAAAAGCATCAGGATATCTCACAAGAAAAGTTTTCCTAAACATCCATAGCAAATCGATGTTATAGTATAATTATATATTCTGATACCCTTCCTATTCTATCTTTTCTACTTTGTTTTTGTATTATTTTCTATTTAAGCTCTGCGAATTCATCTTAGCCCCACTACAAAAGCGTTGTTAGACACATTTCAAACGTTCATCGTAAAATTACGCGGCAGTGTTACATTAAAGGTAAATTAGAATGTCTAATATTATACCATTAAAAAAATAGTAGCACGACGTTCAAACTCTCTAGGGCAAAGGTAACATGTCAACGTGGTGGTTACTTGGCGAAGAGAATGGACTACAAATCCCTTTGACTAATTTTGACAATGATAATGATCTTCTCATATCAGCAACGCCTCCATCGTCAAATCTTTTGGAAATTAATCAAATTCAGATATGATTTTTCAGATATATTTTTTACTTTGTTACATGTTACTTTTTTTTCAAGATTTTAATTACATTCACCGAACCCGGTGAATTACTTACAGCAAAAACAAAGTTTCTTTCTGTAATAAGACTGTTATATACTCCTTACGAACAGTAGCCAACGAGTAAAAATGCATTCCTAACATTTATGGCGAAAAACGAATGCGATCAATATCATATTTTTATTTTGTTTTATATTTTTTACTGTTTTTTTACACTTAACAAATATGCGTCGATCGAATAATAACTGACTAATAATCTTGTATCTAATCTCTATATTTACAAATAATCTCAAACTTTTAGCTAATTACAACATAGCTCAGCCTTGAAACATTATACAATTCATTACGGGTAAAAATGTATTCAGCCAATTAAGTTTTGTACGATTTGTTCAGTCTGCGAGTGTTGTACGAAGGTTTATTAACGTGAAAAATATTTCAACATTAATTGAACAACGTTCGCTTACTTACTGATAATTTCATTTAAAATTCCGTAACTTATTCATCTTATAACGGGTTCGACGTTAGCAGAATACTGGATACAAGTCAAATATACAAAGCATTGTATGTAGTAACAGTAATAATTCTATAACCCAGTCGAAACAAAGAATTAAGAGGTGAAATTTTCTTTCGCACTTTTGCTAATAGTCTGCTAATATCACAGAATATTTGAGCGTTATATCTTTCTAAATTCGGTTGTTATTGAACTTTTCTTCTTGAAGAAAACAATG